TCGTAATATGTGGGGATAGTGATGAAAATCAGTTTTTCTAATAATTTGCCTCAATTACTCTATTTCTCTACATTACATAATATGCATGTCGCCTATGTGCAGTCATTTTAGTCAGCTGTTTTAAAAAACTTTGGAAAGCAGGGACCCAACTCTTTTGACCTTTGAGCACTTTGTCTCATCTTTCAAGATACACGAAAATTAACAGGTCGCCAAGACTAGGAGGGAAAAGGGAATGTACAGCGACTACGGTACTGGGTACCGGTGCCAGCTAACTACATGCCTGCAATAATCATCAGGTACTCGGTACTCCATAACAGCACTGCTGGTCATTTCATCTGCTTCGCCGGTGTATTTGCCCAGTATTTGATCTTGGTTGGATGCAATTGCAGGTTGCAGGAGCCCCTGCAATAGGCATAACACCAAAAGGCCGAAGTGGTTTTTCATTGGTCTTATTTGGGAGTTTGGGGATGCGGAATTTCCTCTCGTTTGATTGACATTATTTCTTTTAGATTAGATAAAGAGCAGGCAGGAATGGGCAGGACATGCAAACGTATCATGCTTCTACCAAAATCAAACAGAGAATGAAGCAAGTTGAACCATGTTTGCTCATCTGAATAGCACAGTTCAACTGTCCACGATCCGTTATGCCCCAGCCTAGACGGGAGGGGTCAAGGGAACGCGCCTCCCTGTGAAGTAAACTCACCGGTGACAGCGAGTGGTCTTCCCTAAGCGTCGCTCTCAGCCCAACACTGTTCCCGTGCTGGCCGGCGAGGCTCACCCCCGCATCGGGCTTCCTCCTGCCCTTACTCGGGCTGCCCGACGCTAGAACAATATTGGTCCGATTAATTTTGATTTCTTTTGGTGTTAAATACCCCTCTGCGGGGGAGGTAGGTTGGTGGTTACATACCTCCGGGCACGTTAGGGAGGCAGAAGTCGTCCTCTGGACGGCCGCCGGTCAGCGCAGGGGGCTTCCACCGGCCGCCACCGTGCACGCCGTAGACTCCGAGGTCCGGCTCCAGCAGGGAGGACCGCTCCAAGCGATCTAGTCGGCGGGCCATGAGGAGCTGTCGGTCGGGGCGCGCCCACCACCGGGCCGAGGGGGGCGTTGGAGGCGGGGCCGTGGGCGGGGCCGTGGGCGGGGCCGTGGGTGGGACCATGGGTGGGGCCCACCCCCGCCCCGGGCCCAGGGCCACCGTGGCGCCCCGGCAACCGGGCGGGGGGCACGGCCGTGGGCGAGGGGTACCTCACTGCCTCCAATCAGTGTACACCCTCTGCTCCAATCACTTTCCAATCATTTTCTAATCTCCTTTCAATCACACATTTTTGGGGCAAAATGACATATTTCCCCATATTTTGCCATATTTTCTACAGAAATTCAGAAAATATGATCGAATTTAACCTATCTATAGCTCCAATCACTAATGAGATCTCCAATCAGTGTACACTCATTTCAGAGGTGAGGTCCCCCTCGGCCGTGGGCGCCGCGGGGCCACCCGGCAGGGGGGAGCGCTTCAGGGCCTCCGACCTGAATAACGCGGTGGAGGGTCAGTACGTTATCAAGGCGAGGAGGTGCTAAAGGAGCCCTGCGACAGAAGGGCGGCGAGACCCACCGGAGTGCGTTCATGTGCATCTGGCTGGAAGGGTTGAAGCTGAGGTTGTTGATGGACAGCAGCTGCGGTTCGCCTGACACCTGCAGCTGCAGCCAGGGCGCAGAGGCGGCCGGCTCGACCGTCTGCTGCTCCGCGTCCTGCTGCATCGGGTGCTGGTGGACGCCCTGGTGACCCTGTGGACCGTGCTCCGGCCCCGGCTGGTAGGCGTCCTGCGAGAGCAGGTTGTGCTGCCGGCGCGGGCTCGGCGTCTGGAAGGGCTGCGGCTGCGCGTGCTCCACCTGCTCCGGAGATCTGACCCGCGGCGGCGGCTCCAGCGTCACTGCGGAAGAGCGGTTGAGTCAGTGCTGGCCTGGAGCTGGAGCGAGTGATGGCCATGAGGCCATTGCGTGGCGGCCCTGTGAGCTTGACTTTGGGATCGTCCAGAAAGTTCGTCCGTTTTTCCTCAGTTTCATTTAGCGAACTATGTCAGCTGGGTGCCTGCGAGACTCAAGGTAGGCCAGCCCGCAACACACGCATGCACTAAAGGCAAGATATTGCCTACCTATCAGGCGCTTTGAGAGCTCGCACAGGCTGAACTTGGCAGTTCTTAACAACGAATCACGGACGTACTTTGTGGATGATCCCTTTACCTGTGTGGTGCGACTGCTCGTGATCCTCGACCTCGGGGACGTGGTGCTCGAGCAGCGACAGGGCGTCGTTGTGAGAGCACCTGTCGTTGTCGGACATCGTGAATAAGTCGGTGCATCATCGCTCGGTGCGCGGTCACCAGTCAGAGTTACCCA